AAAGTCTTAGAAGAAAATTTATGCTTTTTCTTACAAATAGAAAACAGACTGAGAATTTGGAAGCTATTCAGTTTTTTATCATGTGATTAAGAGCAAAAAGCATTTACCTTCTGTTAATAATAAGGCTCTACGAGATCCAACAGCTGAGTAGTAGTAATTTAGAAAGCAAGAAAAATACCCACAGATCAAATATGAACCTGATGACACATATTCAGTGTTCCTTTTTTTTATGCTGGGTCACCATATCCATGGAATCAAAAGCAATGGAGACTCTGAAGCTTCTCCACTCTGTTATCTGTTTTCTTCTTGGAGACTTTGGTCCTGATGTTAGTTGTTTTGTCTGTTCCTGTTGATCCACTCATTTACAGGAAGAAATTCAACACAGAGACAATGACTAATCTAAGGGAGAATAAGATAACCTGTGCTTCAGTTGTATCCTGTTCTGTCCAGGAACTTTGATTGAAGATTCTGAATGCTTATTTCCTTGACTCTTTTAAATATAGCCACTTAATAATTACAGTGATATGAAAGGAGTAATGTTTTTGTGTCTGTGTGTTTATTCACAGATTTGCTCCAGGACTATACTCACTCCAGAGGATATTTGAAACATAAAATATTTACCTTTGTAAAAGCTGCTTTCTTTAAAATAATATATAGTCTATGTTAATATATTCTCTAAACATTGCCTGGTGCAGGCAAAATGATTAGTTACTCATTAGTTAGTATAACAACTGTCTCTTAAAGATGAGACAAGAACTTCCCATTTACAGTTTCTCAGTAGATCCTGGGGTTTGGTTAACAGCTTCCTATTTGATTGAGGAGAAAATACAAGCGCTCTCCCAAATGGATGATGTTCTGAGAGCTTTATCTTTGATGTTTCTTTAAGGGATGGTTGTTTACCTTTATATCATCATTTCAAAGGTCTGTTCATATCAGTTTCCTATTATTGGTTGCCCTAGAATGAAATTTAATTTTTTTAAAAGATTTATTAATTTGTGCATACAGAACTGGGGTACAGGCCAGAGGCTCAGGAGCGGTGAGAGGCTTCGCCAGAGACAGGGTGGGGAGCAGAACAGGCAGATGGATGAAGTACACTGCTGAGGGGAGCAGCAGGCGGGTCAGGAGAGGTCTGCCGGGCCATGTGGTCACCTCCGGGGCAGGTGGGAATGGAACTCATGCAGAAACAGCTTTAGATTCTCAGTGCTGTGCTTTAACCAGCTGCGCCACCAGGGAGGGCCATGAAATTTTAAATTTTAAGGCAATTCTCTTTAATTCTGTATAAATCAGGTTTATATACAACCAACATACTTTGAAGAGTTGTTACCCAAAAAAATCCATTCTGGTAATTCCAACTATGGTGTTGATATATCAGTATTTCAGGACGCCATTGATGTCTTGTGAATTGTTTAGACTTTTTTAATTCTCTCATAGTACCATATCCAGAAAAAATATCCCCAGAAGTGCTTTTAGAGATTGATGGGTAGGAAGGTGGGTAGATGGATGGATGATCAAACAACAAATGAGTCAAGGGTTAATGAATGACCTCAGAACCATTTGTCTTTTCAGTTACTGTTAAGAAAATACTACATCCCACATTTATTTACCCAATTATTCAATCAATATTTTTATTTATTCATTTAGTAAGTGTTTTCTTATTTCTTAATAATTAAGCATTGATAATTGAAAATTATTTTCCTGCTTATATTCATCCAACACCATTTGCTATGCCAGGACTTTTGCTTACAAATAAAAAAGGTCAATTCTCTATCTCTTTAGTCTATTGGAAAATTTAAAATGACAAATTGTTAAGCTTTTGTATCTCTCCAGACCCAAAGAATTTGGTACTAACCATCCCAAAAGTTTTTCATGCTGTGACAAGCAGCTACTGCTTTCATCAGAATTTAAATACAACTGCTCACACTGACATTTTCCCTACAAAGAAGAGTAAAAAATTTATCCAAAAATTATTTAAAAGTAGAATAATAAGTAACAGTGCAAAAGCAAGCTTTTACTGGGCATTTAAAAACTTGGGGTAACTCTGGATAGAGCCAGAAAAAGGTGATAGGCTTCAACAAAAGCAGGCCTAACCAGCTTTTTCTAGCCATGAATCTAAAATGCATCAGATCTAATACTGTGAAATGATTCTTAAAATCTCTATCAAAACTTAGCATAAATAGCACTGCTCCTGTGGCAAAATCAAGGCTCAATCTTGGAAGTTCTAGAGAAATACACAAGGAAATGTAACAGTGATGTTCAAGAGAAAGAGGAAAAGATATTAAAAAGACAGTAGATCTTAATTCTGTCCTTTACTTATGAAATATTTTACATGTTTTACTAAGGCAGAAAAATAATTTAAGATTGTTTATGTTCAGTTTCTGAAGTTTACGTTACAAGTAAAAACTTCTCAACAGATTTCCACTCTGTATTTTAAAGATGTCTCCCACATGCAGACTCATTTCTTATAATTCAACATCCTTAAAGGCTCAAGCATCTGATGAACATATTTACAGAGACATTAGAAGATGTGTGTTTATAACAGAACTTGAAACAGTGTTTCCAGCCAAAGTTTTCAAGCATAATCATGAAACTGGAACTTAGAAATTAAAACTCTTTACTGAAAGAAACTTTGCAACCCGGGAGATATAAATTATATAAATGTATTATAGATTACTTTTATCTATATCTTTCTAATTAAAGTTTGCAATTACATAATACAAAAAACCATATACTAGACACTTACATTTTTTTTTCTAAAGCAGTCAGTCTTTAATATGATGGTTTAAAATGAAGACACTTTGCTTAAAATGTTTATTTGATATCTGGCTTAAGAAAAGACCTTAGAATTCATAATAATGAACTTGGATTTATTACCTAACCACAGAGAAGAATAAGTTATACATTTTTAGCAGAGTACAGGAAACAGACTTTGTAATGCACTAATTATTTTTAAATACCAAAATCAAATCATGAGTTATTTATCAAACAAGATTGGAGAATTAGATAAGGTACATTAGCACATTAGCTATTGAAATAATTGAAGTTAAACCATTTCAAATGTCTTCTTTTATGACATGTCTTTTTTTATGACAAGATATTAAAATTGTGTCACAGATTTCCTCGCCTAATTTAACAGAATATATTGAGAGGAAATTACCTCTGTACTATGACTCAGAGACATCAGTTACTGTACTGCATGAAACCCTCCATGATTACCAAGGGTTTTTATATGCTGTTTGGCTCTCTTGCCACAACCTTGCTGTCTGTCCTTCCCAGCATGCCTACAGCTCCCTTTTCACTTTTCCTCCCAGTATACCACACCTTCAGAACATAGAAATAATTGAAAGTAGCCAGGGAAAGCCTTATAAGCAAACTTGTTTAATCTGTAAACTTAATTGCACACACAAACCTGAGTCAACAACTCTGAAAAGAAGTTCTGATAGGGTGTCCCTACCCTCTGGCGGTGAGAACATTACCTTGACTCTTCAGTTCAGTTGGCTGCTTTTTTGCCAAGTCCAGGCTGCTCCTTGATCCAGGTCGGTACGATGATAGGAAAATGTTGGACATTTTTCTAGGGCCCTCCCCAGTGGCGCAATAGATTAGGACACAGCATTGCAAGCTAGCCACAGCCACTTCAGTGCGAGTTCGACACCCCCCCCAAGGTGATCCACACGGCTCAGCAGAACTCTCCTGTCTCGCTTGCTGCCACCCTCAGCAGCTACCTCATCCATCTATTTTTTCTGCTCCCCACTCTGTCTCTGGTGAATTCTCTCAGCACCCCTGTACCTCTGGCATGTACCCCAGTTCTGTATGCATAAATAAATAAATTTAAAAAAAAATACAGTTTAGGCTAATTGCATACAGATGACATCTGCAGTCTCCTAGAATATTCCCAACTAACAGTGCCCCTTTCCCCAGAGAGTTATAAGTGATTTAAATAATATTTATTTATAAATATTTATTTTAAACAAATACATATTATATTTATTATAAAATAAAATGATAGTAAATAAAAATAATTAATCATTTATAAATATATAAAAATGGAGGCTATTACCAGTAACCAAGCATGAGACCCAACTGAACCTACTGACAACACAATTAGAAAGATTTACCCACCTAATCCTCTTCAGCCCTGGAACTAAGCAGGCGTAAGCTGTAGAGGATGAACAGAGAAAACTTGGAGGTGATGACCATTGATGCCTTCCTAACTTGCCAGTTCCATTTCGCTGATTTTGATATTAAAGCTAATATTACATGAAATTGTGTTCCATTACAAGCAGCTTTCCATAACTTCTTCATCTCTCCTTTAATTACCTCCCATTCAGAGGAATGAGCTCACCATACTCCAAAGCACAGTATCATCAAAGTCAAGAGTTTGCACAAATTCCTTTTTGTTTGCTTATTATCATAATGCACACACAGTTCCTGCTGTTTCCCACTGTAGCCAGCAATTCTAACATACCTCACAGCTTTCCTTGATCTTGTATATAAGTTTATAAAAATGTATCATTTCAGTGTTTTAAGACCTTCAATAAATTTACATACAAAGTTCCTGTTCTCTATCTTACTTTTCATACTCCTTCCATGTTTTAAAAATCTGTCTGTGCTGGCCCTCCCTGGTGGCGCAGCGGGTTAAAGCACAGCACTGAGAATCTAAAGCCGCTTCCGCATGAGTTCAATTCCCGCCTGCCCCGGAGGTGACCACATGGCGTGGCAGACCTCTCCTGACCCGCCCGCTGCTCCCTCAGCAGTGTACTTCGTCAATCTGCCTGTTCTGCTCCCCGCTCTGTCTCTGGTGAATCCTCTCACCCTCCGCGTCTCTGGCCTGTACCCCAGTTCTGTATGCACAAATAAATAAATCTTTAAAAAAAAAAAATCTGTCTGTGCTGTTATATGCACATCACAATCATTCATGGCTGCTAAATGCTGAGGAGGGCACCTGCCACAGTTTACCTGCTCACTTCACCCATTGATGGACATCTTGCTTCTGTATCCTCAAGCTACGAGCATAGACTTCTCTACATCCTGTGCATGTCCCGTTATGTGTCTGACTCTGGACCCTTCCATGTCAGGTGCCTGCTCTTTGAAACTCTCAGCTCTCAGCTGTGAGCACCTGAGAGTCACTAGCGAGGCCAGTGGACCATAGTCATTTCTTGAAAGCTTCTGTGTCTTTGTCTAATGTTCTAAGCTTCTGATAATGTTTCTTTCCAGAGATCCCAAGGTACACCTCCACATCCCCAGCAGCTCATATTATCTCAGGACAGTATCTGGATGTCCAAGCAGGAAGAATCAAAGCCCAGCCAGTGCCAGCTCCTCCTTGAAGAGGTAAGTAAACTAGGGTTCAAGGAGAGGAAACAACTTGGGCCAGGTCACAGCATGTGGAGCCAGAACTAGACAGAGTTCTTCTTGACCCTTTGTTCAAAACTTTGCTTCTGTTCCCATGTCACAAGAGCATGGGTCTGTTAGTGCTACTAGGCTTTCTTCTCCTCTCCTCAGTGTCCCCCAACAATACATTGTGTTAGTTTTGTTTTGTTTTTAATGTTTCATTTATTTAGTGTCCTGTATCTTTGTTAATTTGGGATAGTATTTGATTTCTCCTCTCTGGTGTAGTCCCCCAGTTCTCCCACCACCACAGCACCCCTGATTCATCACCACAGTCTCTTGTGCTCTTCCCTCCCCATTTGGGTCCCTCTCCCTTCCCCCCTTTCCTTCCCACCCCTCTGCATGCCTCAGGTCTGTGGTCAGTTGCAAAAAAACAGATACATATCAGATGGTTTCTCTTATATGCAGAATATAGAGAACCCAAACATAGTGTGTGTGTGTGTGGGGGGGGGAGAATTAGTCTTACTCTCTCAGTGATCAGAGCCTAAAGGTCTAAAGGTCAGTCTCAGCCTGAGTATTGGGAAACCCTCCAGTCTTGTACTCTGAGACATTTCTCACTTCTGCTTTTATCTTCTCCCTGTTAACACCCTGCTCCCTGGACTTCCTCTCCAATGCCAGTATTCCAAGTTCAGATGAAGTGGACAGAGGAAAAGGAGGAAGGAGTGGAGCTTAAGTGTACCTAAGACTCACTTCCTTGGTCTAATTCCAACACTCAGTTCAGTATTTCTGGTCTCTAGGAGTAGAATGGAAGGTTTTCCCCCTTTACCTTGAGGGTACTGAATGACTTTCATAAGCAATTCCTGGAGGATTTCCCCAGGGGAAAGGCTGCTGGGTAGAAGTGAGCCTCCAAACCCCCTTCTCTTCCTCTGACCTGGGTCTCTAGACTGGAGAGGGGGACTGTGACGACAGCCAAACTTGCAACTCTCCTCCAGCATATCATACACTCTGTCCCTTTCATTTCATTCTGACACAAAATTTAGCAAGTACAGAAATGAGCCCTGGTCAGTGGTGGGTTCTATTAAGCCTAGCATGCCGCCTTTGTCTCCACTGAATGTGTTTGGGAAGGTAAATAACCAAACAAGCAAAAACTATGCCATCCTCTGCTTTCTAACCAATGCCACCCAACACATCCCTCCAAAATGAAATTTCAAATGCATTTTGGAAATAAGTTCAGTAGGCAGATTTCCCTGCTTCACAGCTTTCCCGGCCTTTATTGCTCTCTACAACTCTCCCAATCAGGATAAACATGTTTCCTGTGAAACCACAGTTAAGAAACAACTGTCCAAGAGAGTCCAAGAGACCTGAAGAATCAACTCAGAACAAAACTTTATGAAACTTCTTAAAAAAACATTTTTTTTTTGAGTTACACAGTTGTATGGCAGGTAGGAGGGAAGCTACTAGAACTTGAAAATAAAGGTTGTCCCAGGAAAGTTACATGCCTCAATTAATGAGTGGGAAACAGCATGAAGAAAAGGGGAAGAAAAGCTCAGCGGAGGAATTCTGTTACCACATTGAAATACCTAAAGAAGAAAAGGAAATTAGAAAGAGTTTAGGAGGCAGCTTTTAACAGTGCTTTGTTTGCTGGGAGTGGGTTTGACTTTCTTTAGCTTTTTATTGCTAGGAGCAGAGGTAGCCACAGGGGGGTGACAAAGACTCTACTTGACTAAACTAATGCCAGTCTCTGCTGAGTCCCCTGTAACCAGGCCTATCTCCTGGGCCTCCTGTCCCAGGAGGCTTACTCCAGGTTTTAGCAAGAATCCTGTTAAATCAATTTCCAGACAATCCTGCTCATGCTATCTGATCACCCATCATATAGGATCAAGTTCATTATCCCCCTTCTTGGATGCAGAAATCACCTGCCTGCCTTCACCTAGGATGCTATTAAATTGGTTCTCAAAAATCCCCCTCTTAACTCCTCTTAACAATTGGCCATCCACTCCTCCCTCAACCCCACCTTATTCTGCTCCTTGGCAGGAAATTCCTGGCAGCCTTTGCTGTAGGCAAGTCCAGCCTGATTCACTCATACCTACCTGTTAACAGTCTTGACCAACATAAGTTTGACCAAAGTCTAAGCTACTGTTTTAATGTGTCAGAATTTTTATGTTAACAGGGTGGAAAGGAAGAAGGATGCAGTGCTCTTAACTTATTGCCTTCAAACATTAGAACCTCTGAGATAATCAGCCTTTTTGTTCTTTATGGTTTTGACATACCCTCCTATGGATTATAGCTTCCATCTCTATTTTCAGCCTGAAGAGAATATCCCCTACCACTTTATGGCTCTCACTGTGGATTAATAAGTTGGTAATGTTCTACATATTCCTGTGATTAAGTTATTTTTGAACAGTCTATCCAGGTCAAGAATATTGACAAAAAATCAAGTTTCCAAGCTTACAGCTCAGAGGACTAGAATGTAACACCTGGCCACAGTGATCTATAGCACTAAAGAATCCCTCTCCCAGCTTAAAATGGCATGGCTGTCTGATTAGCATCAACAACCAAAGTTTCTGAAACATCAGTAGTGAGGTAGAGTTGAGGAAACAATGGTGATTATAGAAATCACTTTGACTTTTGTATTCAAGATGTAATCTTTTCTTTACTGCCTACTTCCTAAGACTCAGTGTCTTATGTTGTTACTTCTGCTGTATCACAGATCTGCCATGTCATTGTCTTGACCTGGGTTTCTTTATAAAAGGTGGATTCTTGTTCAACAGTTATATGGGAAGTGGGGACAGGGCTCTGTATTTCTAATAAGCTTCCAAGTGTTGCAAATGCTGCTGGTCCAGGGACCCCATTTTGAGTTTTATCATCACTTCTGATGTGGTGTATTGCCACAAACACTCGACTGGTCTCCCTAGCTATCTGTACAATCCATATACCACCTTGTGGGTCAATGTTATCTTCCTATAATTTCAATCCCAACATGTTCCTCTACTTTCCCTGCTTCCCATATTACCTGCCTCCCATACTACCGTTAGGCTCACAGAAGCTCACTTCTTCAGCTTTGATAAATAAGCTTAATTCTTACAATCACCTTGTCATCTTTTTGAGACTTCCATAAGTTCTGCACCTAATCTGACAAACGATACTTTTTTTTTTTTTTTAAGATTTATTTATTTGTACAGAACTGGGATACAGGCCAGAGATGCGGAGGGTGAGAGGATTCACCAGAGACAGAGTGGGGAGCGCAACAGGCAAATCAACGAAGTACACTGGTGAGGGGATCTTTGTGCTGTGCTTTAACCCGCTGCGCCACCTGGGAGGGCCGATACTCTTCTAATTACTATCTTCCCTCCTTCCACAATATTCTATGCTTTGAAGTCAAGTTATATACTCTTCCTTAGTGATTCTATAACACTGGAACCTCTTTTATTATTGTTATTACCAGTCTGAATATTTTTCTCCAATTTCTATGATTATATTATGAATGAAGGACAGAGGCAGCTGTATTTTTTTTCATTGTATTAATTACCATTGTATTTTTTTGTGTATAAAAATGCTTAAAATACATGTGTTGATTTTAACCTGGAAAAGGGATAATATTCCATATATATGTATATATATATATATATATATATATATATACACACACACACACATACTTGTCCATCATCCTCTGAAACACCTTCATTTCAATGTAGGTATAACTGACAAGACAAAGATTAGACATGCCTGATCTCAAGTGAGTCTCTTAGAAACAAAGCTTCCCTTTGCATATTAGAAGATAATCTCCCCTCGGACTGAGAGCAAGGTGGGTTTCATTGAACTTCCTTTCACATCAATGTCCTTGGAATGAAATGAGCAAAATGAGCCAAAGTTGGGGAAGGGTGGGAAGAAGGGCTACTTAGAATTATCATAAAGTTTCTCTGGTTTCCCTGAGATGCTCTCAACAAGTAGCTCTTTCCCATAGGAAGTGAAATCTCCAGAGGGGTTGTAGTAGCCGTGGTAAGTGGAGTGGAACAAAGTTCTTGAAAGCAATGAGCCTCTTGAAGGGAAGACCCACAGCTGGGTCCACTCAATAGACTGGATTCACAGATTATGCATACTAGACCAATTTGCACCTCTGAGCATGCTTGACATCTTAGCTCATCAGTATCTGCTCGGGAAATATGTAAAGCCATAGGACAGTATGCATGGGAAAGTTTACAAAGACTCCAAACATATATACCACTGTGTGTTTGCAATTTGCTGGTTCAATGTTTTTGCCAGCTGCATACAAGAGATAAAATGTTGTTGAAAAGCTTGCTGGAGAAATGACCTCTTATTCCAGAGGAAAGATCTCATAGCATTTTTGGCTTGGTGGGATATTGTGATGGCTGTGGAGAAGTGAATAGAAACTGTGGAAGAAGTTTGAGTATTCCTCTATTTACTATGAAAGTACTGTATTGTTCATTAAAGTTGTTTAGAAGTATATGTAAAACTAGGTAGTGTTGACTGCAGTCCTTATTTTTTTTCTTTTCGCATCATGAAAAACTCCAAATGGTTCATTGATAAAAGCCATCTCAAGTAATGTCTTTTCCCAAGGGGGATTTTTACTTGCACTCTGCATTTATTAACTTATTTTTCTGTGCTGTCTTGGCAAAGGTGAAATATGGTCATTACTTGAGCAACTTCTACCCC